TTTGTAATAAAAGTAAAAGAATTTGGTATAAAACATAGGTACCTCAAGGATCATTCTAGAGCTGTATTAAATATTATTCTTGTAACAGATCTCAAGAAAACCCTTTCAATACAGTTTCATTTCAGTAATTCCGTATATCGAGATGTTTACAAATAAAAATAGATTATTATTATTAATGTTTATTATTTCACCTTGCGTTTCGAAAAAATCTCATCTTCTACGTAGTAAATCGGAAACAGCAATTCTTTTTTGTGTTTAATTCTCACTTACTTACAAAATTTAGGCAAAGTGAAAAAAAACATTTGTCTGTGTTTTTTTATTCTCAATTCTAGAGTCGTTACACATCAGAAGCGCTAAAAGTCACTTAAGGCTATTTTATGGGAAGTGAAGTTTCATTTCACAAAAAGGGCAAAGTCGCCAAGTTTCGGCCGCGTTTTCAACAATCGAACAATTACTTAGCTGGATTATTACGACCCACCTTTTTTACGGTTCAAGTAGTCCTTTTTAAAACTAACAGACCCGCTCCCTTGGGTCTGCTCGATAATGCTAAGCGAGCAATTCTTGTTGAAAGCCAAGCACAAGGGGGTAATGACCGTATTATATTTTTCTTTCTTCTTTCTTTTCGGCTGTGATCAAATCAGAGGCTATGCAGTTGAAAATACGCACACTTTTCGAGGTTGGCCCTATTTCAATCAGCAGCTATTTTGCTTTGGTGAGTATCATTGCTAATTAAATTTGGTAAGTAATAGATGCTATTTTGTTACAAAAATAGTCTGATGTACTTTACTGTATTTTTACTAAATTTTAAAACGGCTATCTGAAAATACTCGACAAGGTTAATATACACGTTATTGCGAGTAACAGGCATTATTTCATACTTTGAGCAGTCTTAGTAGTTACAGATAGATGTCGCTACCAATTAACTATTAGATATAGAATCAGATTCAACAACAAATCGTTAGTGTTTTTCTGTATTTTTTTAATCTCTACTCTGGATTATAACATTGCGTAACATTTACCAGGCCATAAAAATATTTTTTCGAAATGTATACGCAACGTTTTATAATGTCTATATGCTTAACCCTGGACTTATTAATTAATAGTTGCTAAATACTAGCCAGATTTGTAATCAAAAATGGAAATTAAAGTTCATAGTAATAAAAGTAGAGACCTACAGCAGTAACCGCTGAGAATTTATTCGTTTTTATCGGGTAGGCGAATCATGATAACCGCATACGTTAATTACGATTGGCCTTCACCCAAAACACTTGAGGGGCTTCAGCGGTGAAACAACTCAAAACTTTTACCATTTAGGGCAATATTCGTCGGCAGGTTTCGTTGGTTTATTCCCGTTGTCCCCCACCAGGCTTGTGCCCAATGCTGAAAATTTAATGAAATAATTAATTCGTTCGTTCGTTTCAGCCAAATGACGTCCACTGCTGGACAAAGGCCTCCCCCAAAGATTTACATAAAGAAAAAATTCAATTCATAGAAACTATTTTGCATGGCTGACTATAGTCAAATATGAGGACATAAATGTATTCCTTTAATATCTGTAAGTAATGACCATGTTTTAGCAAATAAATAATTATTATTCTTATTCTTGAAAGACCGATCCTGCGCCGGCATCATCCAGGCACCTCCCGCGACCTTCACCAGATCGTCGGTCCACCTAGTTAATTTTAATTATTTGATTACAATCCCGTTGTCTCCACTAGTGGGGAGAAGCCTGGTGGGGGCTGCGGTAATAAACCGTTTCATTGACTCTTTTTTTTCTCCCATTGAGGAACTTGTAATAAAATCACATTACTGATGTTAATTTTTGAGTGTTTGTCGTAGTCAGTATAATTCTATTTCTTATCAGATAATCATATTATTATTATTGATTCAGCCTTCGGCCTAATTAACTGTGCAAACAATTATGTGATGTTTTTGTTTGTGTTGCTAATCTGGGATTTGAAGGCACGAGCATTGGGAATTTGGGATCGAGAGAGATCAACTCTATCATTCCTTGTCATTTATACCTATTGGAGGATTCATGATAAGTAGTGGATAATATGCATTCATAATAAGGTCTATAGGAAAACGTAGTGTGGAACGCCCGCCCACAAGGTGGACCGACGACATCATGAAGGTAGCAGGAAGGCGCTGGACGCAGGCCGCTACCAACTAGGCAACATGGAAAGCATTAGAGGAGGCCTATGTTCATCTCATCAGTGGACGTCCTATGACTGAGATGATGATGATAAATAAGCTCTACAATTTAACTCTTAATGAAACCCTACTAATGATTGTTCAGAAGTCCTGAGATAGCTAATCGTCCTGCAATCAGAATTGATGTAGGTATTTGACCATCAGTTTGAAGGTAAGAAAGATATAGCGGGGGGAAATCCTTTTCAGTAATCTGTCCTGTCCTTGACATGAGATTATAACTATGTACAATTTGACACAAGTTAAGTAGACCTTCTAACTTATTACGCGGGTATTACGGTAACCACCGGCAAGTAAAAGGAATAGCAAAATCACCGGATAGTTATAAAGTTGTCCGTTGCTCAGATCAGAAGACTGTCAGCTTAGCTTGTATTAACTAACTAGTGTTTATGAATATTATTAAGGTCAATTGATTTTTTTATAATCAAAATTCACTGTATATAGGGGGTACAAAATATAAACAAACAAATGAACATAGTTCTTTGTATTACCTACATGTGAGATTGACTTGTCAGTAGCCAAGTTAGTTCTCGAGCGCCAGCTATTTGTATGGCCCAAACCAAACCAAAGCGTTTGGCAGACGATTTCTTACAATCCGGTTTTAAGTTTCAGACAAAATGTGCAATGAAGCTTAGGTGCATAAATTATAATTTTAGCTAACTTAAAGACATATTAATTTGTTTCTCCATTTATACATAACTAGCTTTCCGCCCGCGGCTTCGCCCGCGTGGAATTTTGTCTGTCACAGAAAACCATTATCGCGCGCGAGCCTGTTTCAAAAACCGGGATAAAAACTATCCTATTAGTCCAGTAGAATTAGCTTTTAAATCGGAAATAATTCCTACAAAAGATTTTATTGCTTTAATGGCTTCATTGGTTGCCCATTAAGACTCTCCTAAGTTTTCGACTTCGACGGAGTTGTGCTTAAGTGGGGGGGGGGCCCGAAAGGGGCGCTTTTTCGGTTTTCCAGTTATACCGCGTAAAGGACTTACCCTATCGAAAAGTGGTCTTCCTGATGGTTGAAGGGCATTTAATTCTGCATTAATAAGACCAAATTCATATGTTTTGAACAAACCGTTCTCGTGCAAATGTTCGGCAAAGTAGAAAATATGTGTATAATTAATGACCCTCTCCACGTCCAATGGCTCGTTACCCGCAGGCTTCCAAGTCTNTGGACTAATAGTCAAATATGAGGACATAAATGTATTCCTTTAATATCTGTAAGTAATGACCATGTTTTAGCAAATAAATAATTATTATTCTTATTCTTGAAAGACCGGTCCTGCGCCGGCATCATCCAGGCACCTCCCGCGACCTTCACCAGATCGTCGGTCCACCTAGTTAATTTTAATTATTTGATTACAATCCCGTTGTCTCCACTAGTGGGGAGAAGCCTGGTGGGGGCTGCGGTAATAAACCGTTTCATTGACTCTTTTTTTTCTCCCATTGAGGAACTTGTAATGAAATCACATTACTGATGTTAATTTTTGAGTGTTTGTCGTAGTCAGTATAATTCTATTTCTTATCAGATAATCATATTATTATTATTGATTCAGCCTTCGGCCTAATTAACTGTGCAAACAATTATGTGATGTTTTTGTTTGTGTTGCTAATCTGGGATTTGAAGGCACGAGCATTGGGAATTTGGGATCGAGAGAGACCAACTCTATCATTCCTTGTCATTTACACCTATTGGAGGATTCATGATAAGCAGTGGATAATATGCATTCATAATAAAGTCTATAAGAAAACGTAGTGTGGAACGCCCGCCCACAAGGTGGACCGACGACATCATGAAGGTAGCAGGAAGGCGCTGGACGCAGGCCGCTACCAACTAGGCAACATGGAAAGCATTAGGGGAGGCCTATGTTCATCTCATCAGTGGACGTCCTATGACTGAGATGATGATGATGATAAATAAGCTCTACAATTTAACTCTTAATGAAACCCTACTAATGATTGTTCAGAAGTCCTGAGATAGCTAATCGTCCTGCAATCAGAATTGATGTAGGTATTTGACCATCAGTTTGAAGGTAAGAAAGATATAGCGGGGGGAAATCCTTTTCAGTAATCTGTCCTGTCCTTGACATGAGATTATAACTATGTACAATTTGACACAAGTTAAGTAGACCTTCTAACTTATTACGCGGTTATTACGGTAACTACCGGCAAGTAAAAGGAATAGCAAAATCACCGGATAGTTTCATAGTTATAAAGTAATCCGTTGCTCAGATCAGAAGACTGTCAGCTTAGCTTGTATTAACTAACTAGTGTTTATAAATATTATTAATGTCAATTGATTTTTTTATAATCAAAATTCATTGTTGTTTATAGGGGATACTTAATATAAACAAACAAACGGTACTACTCCCACCTCTCGTTCCCACCACTCTAACTCCTGTGTAGCCAGGATTTACAGCTTGACCGCCTTAAAAACCCAACGAATGAAGGTCAAGTTTGTCCCGGGGGAAAGTTAAAATGTCATTGGACCCGCAACGAAATTACATAAATAATCATAAACTATTTGTTTTTTTTACAAATAATATAATTTTTATAAACTGATTTGTTGTTACAAAATTTTTACACTTCAACCCTAATTATCACCTACAGACAGAGATGCCAAGAGCTTCCTCGTTGTTGATAAAAAAACAAACCCAATGTCAGTTGTCGGTACACCGGCGTTTCATTTCCGAAGTATAGTCGCACGCGCAGCAAATTTTCTCTGCTATGATAATCAGTATAATTGCCTTATATCCTCTGATCTACTCTACACACGAGCCATTCGCCTCTTAACCGATTGCTAAGTAACACCGTCCGTCCACGAAGGTCTAACATCGTCTTACCGTTTGTTGATATAAAGGAGCTGAGCTACTCAGTCGCCACAGTGGCGTAACTGACATTAATTGTTCAACTTGTCTTGTTTTTAATATGGAGTTACGATCTTTTTTGTGTTGTGCAGTTCTTTTGATCGTCTTCTGTTTCGGGAATGGACACGCTAAGCTTGCTCGTAAGTATTGAAAAATAATTAGACTCATATCTGACTTGATTAAGAATTTGATCATAATCGATTATGGATACGATTTTTATCATCCAAAGGTGACCTAAATAAAGCAGGTGCGTTTTAATACTTTTAAATGGATCTTAAATTAGGAATGTAAATACAAAATGCTACATGATAACAACAATAACAAATGTATAATCGCGCCGGCTAATTCTGGTGTTTAGCTTACCAGACTAGCTGGTTGGGGTTGCAGGTTAGATTCCTGTTGAGGATCCAATGATGGTGATAATCTTATTCATTTAAATCCGGCCTCATGCAAATGCTCGCTGTAATAAACAGCGTTGATTGAATATAGTCATATCTAGAGTTTTTTTGAAAGATTAAAGTTTGAACTTGGTTTTAAGGTAATATTCGGTGGATGAGCCTATAACAGGTCAATAAGTACTGAAAATACATACTCGTAGGTATCTAATCTCACACTATACACATTAGTCACATTATTTTAGAAACGTGAGCAAATTAATTCTCAAATTAATCTAATTGAGATTTTAGCTAAAAATGACAATACAGTAACGGGTTTACTTAACGAATAGACAATTTGTATTAACCGAAACAAAAAAAGATAAATACAAAGACCAAGCAAAGGGTGTTTTGACACAGAAAAAATAAAAATAAGAACATGGAAAAAACAAGACAGTTAACTCACATAAAAAAACCTTTAACACAATCATGAAAATGTCAAGAATGTTGCATGTACAGTCACGGAATGAAAAGGTTCGTCAGTTTTCAAATTGATTCCTTCAACGAATCGCGAGCACATATTACCTTTTGAAACTATGTTACAGAATAATCTTGAGTTAGAGAAAATAATCTTTAACTGTTCGTCAGTAAAGTTCAAAATTATTCAGATGTTGATGTCAAAGTTGTTTGACGATTTATCTTGTCAAGAAGATTATTATGATTGATAAACTAAAACCTTCTTGTTGGTTCAACCTGCCATTATTATTTCTATTAAATAAAAAAAAAACTATTGTCATTGGTCAATGTCATCATTGCATTGCACTGATGGGATAGAAAAATAAACAAGCAAAACCTTATTCGTTAGCAAACGTCATATTTATTTAAATGTTAGCAGCACTGTTTCTTGCACTGTTATGTTGGCAGGTTTGACTCTTACAGTACCTAGTGCAAGCGAAAACCGACACTAAGGTGACGAACCTTTTCATTCTGCGACTGTACTTGAAAAATAATGACATCTCCCAAGTAAGTACAGCAGTAAACCAAATTAACGGTTTGTTTACCTTTTGTATTTCGTAACTTTACACTGGTTACACAACGAGTAAAATGCTGACCTTGTACTTGATACAGTGGTTAAGCTTAAAGAAATTTTAACTGTAGTATTATGAATGATAACAGTGATATACGTAGTAAGCCTATTTCACATAATTACTTGGCGTAACGGAATTGTCCATTCTAAAAATGTAAGCTATAATTATCAAACTACATTTTCCATTGCTTATGGGCAACTACCGGCCCATCAAAGTTACTATTGTTGCATCATTGCAGTTTGTAAATAGTAGGTAAAAACTATAATCTTGAGTCAGTAATTAATGAAATGTTCACGTGACGTGATTTTAAACTATGAATCAATTAAGTTACTCAAGTAATTCATATAATGAAATCCACTTCCGCTATTTTTTTCACTAAGTCAAAAAGTAGCCTTGAATAGGTCATTTAAAGTGACAACAAAAAAAAAAAAAAAAATAAGAATCGCTGTCATTCTATTACCTCTCTCATGATAAGTTTGATTATTATTCGTGAATCAACCGAAAACAAATAAAAAATTAATCGAATGCCATACCATGTCACATGTAGAGTCTAATAGAGTCAAATACCATAAAATTGCTATATCAAAAACCTACGTTACAGTGATCAAAGTTTTTAAACAGACTTATTCGTGATTACATAAAATATCAAAGTGTCCTCGACATTGTCAAAACCTCAGTCTTATTTACTCTACTAATAAGTTGACGATAACATGTGAAGCAATGTTTATGTGCAAAATCAAATATTTTTATTGTACATTCCAATGCACAGAACAAAAGCTGCTACTAACATGTTAAAAGAAACCGGTAATAAGGAAAATACAACAAAGTTGTAAAAATCAACGTAAATTGATGGTTACGACTACACAATTTATTGTTTTTCACTTCAACATTGTAAATAAATACATGGAGTCATTAAAAGCTAATTAATAGTTAGCTGTGAACTTCGCACTATGTTAATAATTGTAAAATAAATAATACGTTCTTTCGGGATTGCTTTGCAGCTATAGTGCAAATGATTTCGACGTCGAGACAAAATACGAGTACAAACAGAAATTCAAAATAAACGTCAAAACTAGTCTTACCACTTTTGAAATATTGGTGACCATGAAAGCCTATAAATAAAAGTTTAAGGAAGTTTCCGTCATTCAAATTATGAATAAATTATACATAGTTATATAATATTGTTATCTATTATGCCTTTAGGCTATTATGATATTTGCTACAATATAACAGAGACTAATGCCCGTTTTCACCGTCAATTTTTCAAAACACAATTCCTGTTATGTGTTGCCATAGGGGTCACTTAAAAATCTGAACACTTTTTTTTCAACATAGTAAATCACTGAAGCCGTTTTTGTAAATCATGCAAAGCATTACCCCTTATACTTATGCTTAAAAAGGCTTTTTTTTCAGCTGACTACATCCACCCATGCAACGATACAACTAGCGAATGCCTTGTGGAAGCTACACAGTTTGCTCTCCCTGAATTTGTAAAGGGTATTCCAGAACTCGGTGTTCCGTCTTTGGACCCTTTTACGATAGACCAGCTGGCCATACCTTTGAGCGGGCTGAAGGTGACCTTTTATAAAGGAAAAGTTTCTGGCTTTAGAAAATGCATCGTCGACAATGTAATGTAAGTTGAAATTTTTTGCAAGTTGGTTTCTTCCATCAGTTAGTTTGTAGTTGAAAATGTGGAGGAGAATCTAGTTTTGTGTGTAAACAGATAGCAAGTACTTCAAAATGTTCAAAAAATACTGCCAAGCGGCTCCATATTGCTTGTATGTGTCATATGCACTACACCATAATAACAGTCAATTGGTGATATACTTTTAACATGAAATACTTATACTGCTCTGGTATTCGAAATGGATTCCTTATCAAATAGTTATGTCTATTATGTCCGCGAAATTTTAAGATACCTACGAAACCTAAAGGGTACAGGGTCGATATAAAAACTATAATTTAAGGTGAACGTTCTTACTGATATTGGACTTACGCAAAATCGGTGAAGGGAGCGGAAAATTTGCAATGCTACCATCGATTGAGATAACAAAATTTTCGCGACTGTCGCCTGCATTGCCATGGAGATTACAATAAAAAGATTATAATGGTTCTTCATAACTTAGTTATTCAACAATATTTTGTGCTTAAAAATAAAATCTATAAATTGAATAAAAAGGCATCGGGTCAAGGCACTCAGCATTTCTGCATTCTACACTTACAGACATGTTTTGGTAATCAATCGGATATTATGATCTGTATCTTTCCCAACAATGGTAATGTGCATTATGCATGCAAGCCCCATCCATCACAGCTAGTTAACGTTTGCGAAACAGTCACTAAAAGAATAGATACGAATATCAGCACATCAAGCTTAAGCCTAGCCGAAGACCACAGACTTTTTGTCGGCCGTTAGCATAGTTTATTCGGGCTGATAAGCAATATGGAAAGTATTGGTAATCAATCAAATTAGAATTAACTAAGCCCAATTATCAGCCCAATAGTACGCGGAACTGACGGCCGATGGGGCAGCTAGGTTCTGGAGTGGAGGCCGCGTACCGGAAAACAGCGTGAGACGTCCACCCACAAGGTGGACAGACGACATCATAAAGGTAGCAGGAAGGCGCTGGACGCAGGCCGCTACCAACCGGGCAACATGGAAAGCATTGGGCGAGGCCTATGTTCAACAGTGGATGTCCTATGGCTGAGATGATGATGATGATTATCGGCCGACTAAAAGTCTGTAGTTTGCGAGGAGTCTGACCGTCCATTCATGGTGCTATATTGTGACATAGTGTTGAATAAAATAATGATAAATAAAACAGTAAATAAGCCGTGCCAAAATAGCTTATTGATTTTACTAATAATGATGGATGATATCAGATAATCAAGACCTTGATAGTTACAGCTTATAAGTTCTCAGGACGATTATTATCTCATCATAAACAATGTAACTATGTGACAAAAACCAGTAGGATGTTATCAGTTACAAAAGAAATAATTGCATCTTGAATAAATTTCACATTCATTGTTACCTACCAAGAACTGAAAAATTATGGTTACATTTTTCAAATCCAGTCTCAGAATTAGATAAAGATAAAGATATTTATTTGCAAGAATAGGTAAGTACAGGTTATTGTTGATGTTACATGTATTAAGGACTCTATTCTGTTAAAATATTTAACATGCAAATTTACGGGTAAGGAATTCCCGAACACTGTAGAAACAAACAGTAGTCAGCCATTCCCGAAGCTTTTTCACCATCAATTTTGTAGGGCCATTTTTATATACATCAGGAATTTTGTTATACACCTCAATACACATGCAGTAATAATTTTTCCAGGTACAGTAAGTATGCCCAGTTTGATGAATAATGGCTTACACGGTTCATATGGTCGTTTAATCGTATTAAGTCGTATTAATAACATAATCCACTATATTGTCTGCCTAATTCAAAATTTCCAATCCAGAAATGAATAGGTATTTTAGTTAAGTCCACTTTATCTCCTGGAAATTATATTAAACCTAAAAATATTTAAAATATAGGTATAACCTTGAAATGGGAAATATCATGTGTTATTATTACAAAACACATGATCTGGATTCGATGTCTCCAAGGATAATGGAGGTCGCAAAGCATCAACGTCAAATATTCCATCCAACTTAGGCTGGGCTACACCATCTTACTTAACTATAGCAAACATCAAAATTCTGTCAAACTCCATACAAAAGACACCGGCTATGGTTATAGTTACGGTTAAAGCTCAGCCTTACAATATTTTAAACGTACAAAGCTCCATCGAAAACAAACAATAGCGGAACACAATTTCTCTGAAACAAAAGAGGGCTCGTATTTTTTCCTAACAGTGAATGTGAACCGTCATATTGTATTTAGGTCCTCTCTCTCTCTCTTTCTGCATCTCATTAATGTTACATTTTGATTTTCCAGATCACAATTAGAGAAACGTTACTTCGGTCTGGAGTTCCACTGTAACCTGACGATCAAAGGCCAATACGGGGCCGTTGGGAAAATATTGCTGTTTCCCATCAACGGCGAGGGGGATGCGAAGGTTAAATTGAGTGAGTATTTTTAATAAAGGATTATCGGCCAATTAAGGTGCAAAGTCGGGATTGCCGTGTGAATATTGGATTTTAATGCAATTTTCAGAGGCTTACTTTGCGTTCAGTTTAAAAAAATATATAAATGATACTTATCCAAAAAAAAAATGCAAACAGGACTACAAATAGATAACCTACCTTATGTCTTTGGTGTATTTCTATCTGCTCTTATTGTGTGTGGTGTAGAATAAAGTGTTTATCTATTACCTACTACGAGTACCTATATCCTTTTGAACACATGAATGCAGATTTATACCCTTTATAATTAAACGGTCGTTAATGACATTTCTAAGGCTGAGTTGCGCCAACTTACATCAACCGGAACTATGAGCTGACTATTTTTGTATGGGGTTTGACAGATTTTTTATTTTATTAAGTTAAAGTAAGATGGTGCAATGCAGCCCTATTTACAAACTTGGCTGAAGAAAAATGCAAATATTTTGGCAATAAAATAAACATAATTTAAATGGAACTTTTTTAAATTATTCACAGCAAACCTCCGAATGAAAGTGGACATCAACACGAAGTACGTGAAAGACGAGAACGCCGTGAACCACTTCGCCGTGAGAAACTACAAGTACTCCTTTGATTACGGTGACCGAGTGTCATTTGACCTGAAGAACCTCTTCAAGGGCAGCAAGGAACTGAGTGAGATTGTTTTTCTGATTATAAACCTTTTTTACATTCAAAAATGTTTTACTGTACAATCGGATTGTACTTTTGGGAAAAAAATTAATATAGTCATGACAGTTAGGTAAAAACAGTTTTAAGTTATGAAAACTTTGTTTAGGTCCTTGATGTAATTTATTTATATATCATCTAATTTTCTATTTTATTTCTTGTAAAATCAACAATTACGTGGATCATAAGCAATCAATGATCTAGGTTGCCCAACTTCGTAACCACTAGGTCACAGTAACAGCTCACTCTGTCTTTGAGTTACATTTAATTCAGAGCTGAGCGTCCGTCTATCACAAAAATTTCAGAAAATTTTATCTCGTATTCTTCAATATTTTAAAAATTTCATTAGTTATGGCCAGAAGTGGTACCTATAAAGCTTCGAGTGGACATGCTTTCAGTAATGAAAACTCTTCTATTAAAAATATTTTGTCAACCACAAGCGACAGAAAAATCGACTGTTTTAATTGACCTTTGCAAACATTGATCAAACGGAACTAATTTGAAAAAATCTTACACGCACGCGCCGAGGTGTATTAGCACCAATTGAATTTCAATTATAATTAGCAGGATATCCCTCCCAATTAGCAAAGCCTAAAAGGGACATAGGACAAGCCTACAAACTCAGTAATTTACCCAAATAAGACAGCATGGTTCATTTGTCATCCAAATTGATGCTGAATAAAGAACCTGATAATTATTATCAAATCATCGAGTTCCTTATCCTCAGGATATAGCTTCGTGCTCACGAGTTGTATATTATTACATCAGATTGCGTTAAAACAATTTGATTCAGTTAAATGGAAACTCAAGGCACTCGTAAGAAAATCTCATTTGAAATACTGATTAGTGATTTCATTCAACAAGATTATTCAATGATTTTTGTCAGCCTTGTGCCTGTTATTACAATAGAAATGAACTGAATTAACTACATACATTAGTAAACCTTGAATTAATTGATCTTTGTTATCCTTATAGCTATGATTTCTAAGATTAAGACCCTGAGCGTTCCATACCTATATGACTACTAATAGTAGTCTACTATTACAGTGTTCTTAATATTATTATACAGTATCGAAAAAATATTTTCCTATGTAAATTGGAGTTGGAATCTACAGGCCTAGGATGCGTGTCGAGATAAGCGGTTATCACGCTATTTTATCGATTTTGCCCATACATTTTGAGTTCGATAAGAGTATATCACGGCGGGCATTCTAGCCCGGCTGGTGTTCAAGTATCTATAAGGAACCAATATCGAAAACTTAAAAAAGTACACTTGGTAACCATAATTAATTTTATAATTAACTGCTACAATTTTTATGGGGACATGGGACAATTTTTAATGACGACATGGGGCACATTGATAAGCAATGATGTGTAATAGATTTGGACGTGTATTGTTATTTCATATTCATCCATTATCCAGTCTTCACATTGTATTTACTAGTATAAGCTCAGATAGTTTGGACTAGGAACAGCTTAGGTATTTAATGAGTATTTATTTCTTGTTTCAGGTGACACAGTACTAGCATTCCTGAACGACAACTGGAGGACAGTGGCCGAGGAGTTCGGGAAGCCGATCGTAGATTACGCTGTTGACCTGGCCATCAGAACCATCGAGAAGTTCTTCGAGAAGGTCCCGTACGAGGAGTTGGTCAACGTGCCCATCCCCCAATAAATTGACTGTTAAGTTATGTATTATGTTAAGTAGCACATTAAACAAATCGGTATTATTATTTTTATTTTAGCAGTGTTTGATTTGACTCTGACATCATCATAATATCCCCGATTGAAATACAATTTGATTGTGAGAAAAAATTTGCTTGGCCACTTGTATTAGGAGGAACTTTTATAATATAAGTGCCAACATCACAACATATTCAGTCTATAAAGTTTTCATCGAGTGGTTTCCAAAACAATCAGCTAGGCTACATCTTTTAGGGGCAGAAAAGTTCTCTAGTGGCGACCACGGGCTGGAAGACGTAGCGTGGGCAGGCCTCCTACTAGGTGGACCGACGATCTGGTGAAGGTCGCGGGAAGAGCCTGGATGCGGGCAGCGCAGGACCGTTCATTGTGGAAAACCTTGGAGGAGGCCTTTGTCCAGCAGTGGACGTCATTTGGCTGAAACGAACGAATCAATTTCTGAATTGTTTTTCTTTAGATTCAAGTAATGTTATTAATTATGTACTAGAACTTATTTTTTCTTTTCATGTAATCGATTTATAAATCTANTAAATCTTCTTTTCGGCAACACAATAGTGCGTCCCGCAAAAATATTTCACGTGACGAATACGACAAAACAATCCCTATTACGTGAAGAAAAACGCTACGAAGACGGAGGGATATGTTTGTACCGCTATTCATTTGTCTTGGTTAGACCAGAATCCAGTTACGCCCTTCCCGCGTCTCGTCACTGTGACAAGATCGGAACACTATTACTAGTGACAAGTGATTTTTTGCGTCACATTATATTACATTACTTCGTATTCGGTTTTCGGCATGCGTTGTCTGGTATTCATGAGACATTTTGCCTTGAAATCGAAGAAAGATAATATGGAAGCAATATAGAACCTAATATTCTGATTGCGTATATTTCAGTCCTTTCTGCAGTTTGTTTGTGACCATTACATGTCCACCAAAATTTTGGGAATTGGTCATGAATAATACTCGTACAATAATACGTACGTGCAATAATACTCGTATTTATAAACTGAACCTTTTGTTTATAGTTCGTGGAATTTGCAACGATAGACCCTTCAAATAAAATGTCTGTTAGAGAATCTATATTGGATTACCTAAGCCTAAGAAATAGGTATACCTAATGAGATATTGTTATTAGATTCAGCTTCCTATTTATTATTATCTTCAAATAAGCTCTACGGTATGTCAATTTAAAACTAAACTATACCATAGTCCATTATACTATTAGTTTTGAAAAGTATCTTCACCAATGCAGTAAAAGTTGTCGATCCCCCAAAACAAATTTAACCCCTTGAAGTTTGTATATTTCCTGCCAGTCGTATTTTAAATTTCACCCGGCCAGCCGGAGGGCCATCAAAATCCTCATTTTGCCGTATTCACGCAGCTCGTAGGTGTTCCAAGCATTTTCTCCTCAATACTGTAACGTTAAATGCCTCTGAAACTTTTAAACGCGCGAAATGTATCCCGTTTTTTGTAAATACTTTAGTGCTTCGCGCAGGCACTATTTAAAATAAAATACACATTTTGTAATGTTTGCAAAACATTTATCTTGTAGAGATATATTAAGAATCGAAAAATTGAATCTCCAGTTTTCATTTAATCAAAAATCAAAATCAAAAGTATTTATTCAGTTTAGACCACAAGTGGCACTTATGAACGTCAAAATATTATTATAGAAAATAATAAAAAAGAAAAGGTAGCCCTTATGGGGCACTTTACATGTCTCCTTATCTTCTTTTGGGCCCTACCTACTATGTAACCTAAAAGTAATTAATCACAGTTTTTTTCTAATATGTAACGCAGTAGAAATTATAATGTTCTTTAACTCTTCATTATATGTAGAATTAGAGAGCTAACAAAGAGTCAGGGGAAACAAACAAAGACACAAATCTTTTAATTAAAACAAGCACTTAGTAAAGATGCAAACTCCAATGAAACGCAGTCAAGTAGCCAAGTCTACACGGACAATGCCGGACGGCGCCGGACGAGTCACCCGTCCGAGTTAGCAACTAGTTGTGACAAGTACAACGGACTTGTTCGTAACTGTTTGCAACTTTAAGCGCACAGATTATGGAAAGTAGGTACATTCAAGTGCAGTTAGCTTAAAAAAGCGTTTGTTTGTGTAATATTTTTCTGTTAACACAAGTATCCATTACGTTGGAAAAATCGGTATACTCAGTATTTGCATTACGAGAACGACTAGTTTATAGTAATTAGTATTCAAACGAATTTTATGTATAAATTTTTGACAGGGGGGCGCTACCATCGTTCAACTATTGGTTTCCGACATTGCAAAAATCGGAACCAGCGATCCGGTATTGACGGTGGCGCCCCGCTGTCAATGTCATGGATCCTATCCATGTCCAGTTCAGTATATTGGAACTATACCATGAGTTTACATTTTAAGGCAGATTGTAAAGCGCCCTTAGCGGTTAATTTCAAGACCTAAAATCTTCATAGGTTTTTGACGGACTCGCTAACGATGACGTTTAACGCAAACTCATTGTAAATCTATTGTTTTTTTTTCTACAATAGTTTATTGTACAAATAAATAGTTTACATCCCTCATCTAGAACAAGCACTTGGTAAAGGCGTAAACTCTTAATGAAATGGCGGTCCCTTATAGTCGAGTAGTCAAGTCTATTAGCCAACAATGCCGGACGGTGCCGGACGAAACCGTCCGAGTTGTCAACTAGTTGTAACAAAAACAACTTGTATATTCAAACGCAACCGAGGGGTTAACTTGCTACCGATGTTAAAATGCAAAAATACTCCTTGAAGTACATACATATTTTATTGTATAAAAATAAGCATATTTATAGCTAATTTAATTACGATAGTTAAAAGTGTATTTGCCGTACAGATCTTAATATTATGATCTACTTACTTCATATTCTTTCATTATCTCGGAGTGCTTTTTTATGTTTTTCGACTCCATTTGTGATAACTATTAGCGTTGCGTATGTTACTGTGTAGCCAAATATCTGACATAGTTTACATATTTTAATATCATTAAAGAGACTTGTCACAGCGAAACTTGAACCGACAGCGCTATTCTAACCAAAGTTTCAATTCAAACTAATAACTTGAATCCCGCTTAGATCCCCCGCCAATTTCTTCGCGATTGTGTACTGTGTGGGGAACTCAATTACGACATTAACGTTGAGTCAGGTCCGAAACTTTCAATTTGATTAGTTGCCATATGAGCAAACGCGGGAGTACCGCGAAAATAGGTCAACAAAAACAGCCATACCACTTACCTATTTATACTTATACAACTGTCCTCTCTCTAAGTTTTCTGGAAGAGATCACTTTATGGCGATAAGATCGTCTGGATTGTGCCGTCTCTTTACCATTGCTGAATTCAATCCATTATTTCTGTTACGATGTAGTGTCACATCATTAGGCAACATAAGACTAGAGTCACTCTACCTTAGTATCCATATGCTATCAAAATACACTAAAGCTGGGTTGCACTATCTTACTTTAACTTTGACAAACGTCAAAAATCTGTCAAATTCCATACAAAAAACGCCGGTTATAGTTATAGTTACGGTCAAAGTAAGGCGGTGCAACTGAGCCTAAATAAACTTATTTATACGATTTCTAGCTTAGTTACGCTTAATGTAGAAACGCAATAAGAACTTAACTACTGATACATACATTAATAATTATTAAAAAGAACTCTACCTACGAGTACCTCCTCACACAATTATTATTGTTAATTGTGTTACTTAATCATTATTTTTTCAATGGCCTTTCTCTCTTAGCTACAAAACAAATATATGTATACCTTTAGGCATCTAGTAAACACTAAAAGCCTTAACAAGTCTGAAGAACAAATGTGCTGATCTAACCTAATATTAATATGAAGGATTACCTTAATTTGATGAGTAAATAGTATTTTACACGCATGCAGCGTATTTAACTTGAATAAGTACGTGACAATAATTAGGATTGAGGTGTTTTGTGTTGATTGTATGTGTATTTAGCGATAAGTTAGTTAATGAGTAAATACCTTGTGGTAATATATTCGCGGTTGAGTAAATCAGAGTAGGTATAAGTAAGTCAACGAAATTGTCGCATTACATCCTCTACTTAAATAACAGTCTTCATTCACTGAGACTAAATAGAGAGAAAAAATACCTGTAACATTTGAGTTTAAGGGTAGTAAGTAGGTACTAAAATGTTGTTTTCGTTCGTTCGTTTCAGCCGAAAGACGTCCACTGCTGGACAAAGGCCAAAATGTTGTTTTATTTGTTACCTACCAAATTTCTTTTAATAATCGTAAAACTAAACATAAATTAATTACAATTGAGTTCAAAAATGCACCAAATTATACCTTAAACTTTGAATGCATTGTTTATTACCGTTGTGGTAATTGATATTGATGTTTTTTAAAATAATAAATTCTGGCTATTCTCAAATCTAAGCAAATAATTGAGCAAGAACTCGAGTTATTCGGACTCGGATTATTACGATAATCGATAAAAGTTTCTTTGTAACCTTGTAGGTAACTCAATAGTAAATGAAATACATGTAAATTTTACGATGTTTTAGTAGAATATTGACAATCGTAGATAAATTGATTTGAAAATATTTAGTAATTTATTTTAGTAGGTACCTAATGCAAATCTATTTTATTTCAAAATTCACCAATATAGCTATAATGTAGTTAAGTAAATGGCAAATCCTTGAATTTCACCACTATCCATCAGGTAACATGCAGGCCAATAGCTTCCTTAAAAAACATTTACGTATCTCAAAAAATTTTTTCAATAAAATCGTCGTAGAACTTATCAGAGCATCTTTCAAATCACGACCAACCGAGACCCATTGCCAAAGCATCGAGTACCGGTATCGATTGCCAAAGCAACTGTACCGGTATCGGTTGACTTATGATATTCCCGCTCTGTCAACGTCACCCCTAATGAGAATCATACGTGAACCAATCTGAAGGGTTTCGACATAGTATATGTGAAAGCAGTAACTTGATCTTGCTTAAAATGTGACGCCATGTGATATTGATAATAGAGGCTTC